AGCTCAACCAGGTCTGCTGCAATTGCAATTGCCGTATCTTGTAGACTAGTGTTTGTTGACGAAGGCGGCAGCGCGAGAACCACGATATTGATGCCGATCTATCGCGTATATATCGCGCAGCATTGGTTGCCACTCGGCTTCGTACTTAGACACTTGTTCCTCAGCTTCAACCTGATAAGCACATCCACAGGAAGCGTAGCCATCAGCAGTTTGATTTGAATAGGAAAGCCGCGAATAATCAACCTTCACTGAAGCCAAATGACAGCAAGCGCAACCTCCGCACAGACTGCATTGCTTTTGGTCGATGGACTGCGCGTGGTCCTCCAGGTGACCTTCGTGAACTGTCGTGTTTGCCGTATTTAGCAACGTATTATTTTTTTATATACAAACTTACTGTCCGGCTAGCATGAACAAGCACCGTGGTTTCATTCCGGTGCAAAATCTAAGAAGATTTTGGATCTTCGCTCTGTACAGTAGCGCATCTCCTGGCGCGTGCTTGTTCGAGTTGACCGTCAACTTCAAGACGCAGCGAGATTCAAAACCGATTCTTTTAACTGCTTCAACATGTTAAACCCCAGACGTTCAAAGTAGAAGCGCTGGCCACGATAAGATCATACTCTGGTTCGAAAATGTCGACTTGAACCTCGAATCTCGCTACAGTCGTGACGGAGTGCTCGCGCTTTGGAGGTGGTCACTTCGTCACCGACCGACCATGGCATTCCATGTTGGCAAAATCTTTTTCTAAAGCATCGGTGCTGTTCGTCTTTCCCTTCCCACTGCCGGTATTGTCCTGTTAGCTACATTCACCATTCGATTGAGATCTTCCGCTGAAGATCAAGATATTATAGACTCGTTCAGGCTTCAGGCTCTACACAGTGTAGAGCGTAGTACACTCCAGTAGGTTCGTAGCGGGAACTCCTGCTGCCAATGGGAATGGCGCCATTCGCAGATGTCGGTGCTCGCGCAAAGGTCGCACAAAATGTTCACGCAGATGTGTCTTTTCCAGTGCACCGGAATCTCGCACTTCAACCATTTCTGAAGTTATGGAAAAGTGAAGGTAAGTTCAGAACCAGTTGTGGCATTGTAGTGTACGTTTAGCTTCGAGCAGGAAGCACGCAGAAACCCCATTCAATTCCAGTTTCCAAGGCTTTTGGCCTCCTTATCTCGTACTTTCAAGCAGAAGATCGATGAACTTGCAATAGTCGCTAGATCTGGAAGATTAATGGCTTCACTAAGCTTTTAAACAAGGGCAAGGGTGTCCTCTTCAGCTGTTCAACGGCTCGATCTGCCAATGCACTGGAAAGCAGGGTTCTGCCGTAAACGCGAGGGCAAACGCGGCCAATGCTTGGAGCCGAGAGCGTCGCGTGCGTCATGTCCAGTGTCTCATGAACCGCTATGTACACACGACGCAGCGAAAGCTTTTGCCTCGTCTCGTTAGTTGAGCGCTGTCGGCCAGTGCATGCAGGTTTTCCAGTACTATCCCATGCAAAAACCGATCCAGATGATCTGGGTTTTCCTCTAATCAATGTACAAGTTCAAGTTAAACTGCAAGCACCTTTAGGCTGCTCGTCGGTTGGCTCTGCGATCTCCAACGGCACGAGTTGCTCATATTTCCAAGGCCATTCCTCAATTTCCACTGTCGAGCTCAGTCTACCAGCTTCACAATGGTATTCAACCGACTATCGGCTTTCGCTGACAAAGTATGGAATTCCATCGCCACAGTGCCGTCCGATGGCGACTATAACGCCGTCAGCACGCCCACTAACCGCAGCAGCGCGCCCGCAGCCGAGAAGGGCTTCGCTCTGTCGATTATCGCGTTCGAAGTCATGTGTTTGATCTTCTTCGCCTTGAAATTTGAAATGCCCAGCCCCAAACACGTCGACGCCGACACTGTGAGCACCATGAACTACTACCCCATGTACATGGACGTCCACGTCATGATCTACATTGGTTTCGGCTTCCTCATGACCTTCCTACGCAAGTACAGCATGAGTGCCGTGTCGCTCAACTTTGTGGTGGCCGTGCTGTCCCTTCAGTGGGGTATTATCGTGGTCACTATGGCTCACCAGATCGGTGGCGACCACTACACGACCAAACTACTGGACATCCCCACGATGATCAACGGCGACTTTGCCGCTGGTGCCGTGTTGATCAGCTTTGGCGCTGTGTTGGGTAAGACTACCCCCACCCAGCTGGTCTGGATGACGTTCCTTGAGATCATCTTCTACGGCTTGAACGAGTACCTCGTGTACGAGGAGATGAAGGTCACGGACGCCGGTGGTTCCATGGTTATCCACACGTTCGGTGCTTTCTTCGGTCTTGCTGTTACTATCATGCTCGGCGTCCCGAGTGAGAGCGAGCAGGTGCACAACACGTCTCGCTACCACTCGGACGTGTTTGCTATGATCGGTACGCTCTTCCTGTGGATGTACTGGCCGTCGTTCAACTCTGCTCTTGTGGGCAGCGATGGGTTTCAACAGGAACGTGCGGTTATGAACACTGTGCTCAGTATCGCGGCCTCTTGCGCCTCTGCGTTCGCAGCGACGAAGATGATGAGCCACACGAAGAAGTTCGACATGGTCCACGTGCAAAACGCCACGCTGGCGGGTGGTGTCGCTATGGGCACGAGCTGTAACCTCGCTATTAGCCCTGCCGCTGCTATTACCGTCGGTCTGGTCGTGGGTATCGCTTCTACCATTGGTTTCTGCTTTGTGACGCCCCGTTTGGAGCGTGTCATCCGCATGTCCGACACGTGCGGTATCCTTAACTTGCACGGTATGCCTGGTGTTGTCGGTGGCTTCGCTGGCGCTATCATCACGTTCTCGGCCTCTGATGATTTCTACGGTGACACTCTGACGAGCGTGTACTCTGCACGTGAATACCGCTCTGCTAACGAACAGGGCTGGTACCAGCTTCTTGCTATCGTGTCTTCTGCTGGCATCGGCGCTGTGTCTGGCGTGTTTGTCGGCTACTTTCTCAAGTCGAAGCTGTTCCGCCAGCAGAAGCTCAAATACGACGACGAGGAGTACTTCTACGTGCCCGAGGAATGCCACGCCTAAGTGGATAGCTGAGGAACGATTCTAATTACAATTTTCATGATTTTCATTCATCTAAAGCGTTTTGACATGATACCATCCACAAATTGCCAGTACTAGTAACAATTTGTTAGCTATACGTGTTTGCCTCGGCAGGGGGCTAACTCTCAATAGCAATGGCAATGTCGAGAATGCTCCGCTTAGTGGAACTCAATTGATGTGTCCGATCGATCCTGTGGAGGTTGAAGCCATTTTACAGTTTGAATCTTTCAACTTCAAAATTCGAGCAAATCGTAAGCATACTTCACCATTTTTGAGAGATCTTTTCGTGAGCTGTTCGATGGGGAAACATTTTTTGCTTGCTTGACTGTTTTGTGCAGCTTAGTGCCAGGAACGATCATGTCGTTACCCACTACAGTGCTCGTTGGAAAGGAAAAAAAAAAACTTATCTGCGGCAGCAATTGCTGACCGACTGTAGCATATGCAGCCCCATCCTGACGACAGCAGGAGCGACCATGTCGTATCCGATACGCATGTATCGCTGTTTACTTGTGTAGAAGAATGCGTGTGACGCGAAAGCTAGAAGTTTGTCCCCTTCTGCCAGCAAAGGAGATGACAAAGTTTTGTAGCTTTTGTATCTACAGCTTTTCAATGTTTCATTGCCGATAAGTGGGCGTGTATGAAAGAGCTCTTGGCGCAACAAGTGCATTCTCCAAGCTCTATTTGACAGGTTTAAGCATCAATAAAAATGCTTGTGGTAATCATAGCTGAGCTTGAACCTGCTGGCTTTAGCATAATTGTAATGACACACATGACTTTTTGGTGCTTGGCGAGTTGTAGCCATCCGTTGGTTGATGTGAGGTAGGTTGAAGCTTTAATAATCAATCTCATGCCTGAGTCAGACACTGACAACCATGAGTCACGGTCGATGACGGTCGACAAGTAGGAAGGTCCAGTTTGTGTGGCGTCACGGCATCAACGCTGTCGTGGCAAGTTCGAGCTTGCAACGGTCCTTTGCAGTGCAAGTTGCTCAGCTATCAAGCGATGGAGTCAGTCTTTGCTGCATCGGCGGACAGAACACAAGTACTAGTCTGGTCGTCGACTACTCTCTTCGAAATCCTCTCTAAAAGAGCTCATCCAGCTAGCAGAACGGACGCCGCATTTCAATGGATGTGGTTCTTCACGACCCTCCTCGGATAGGAACTGTGGCTTCGGCACCGCGACAACCGGGAAGCAGAGGGAAAACCCACGTCACGTCGACAGCCAACTCGATTCCAGTCTCGAGATATCCCCCACCCCATCAACATCTGGGCATCCGACAACTGGCACTTGCGAACGCCAGCCCTTCTGCTAACGGAGACCTTGCTCATTATCGAAGGTCTCACTACCGGTACTGTTTCATTCTCACTTCCACTTCCAGTGGACGTGTGCGAGGGACCAAAGTCTCCTCCTGATCGCCCTCCACCACACACCAAGTGGCTGCATAGTTCAATTATCCAGCCCAGAGCGTCACCAGCATGAAGTTCCCCCTACCTGCCGACACGTTTCCGACTCTGTCGCTACCTTTGGATGACCAAGACGCACTGAAGAACCTGGCCCAAGCGTTCGTGGATGACGCAATGGTAGAGTACCAAACCTTCCGAAACCCTCCTCTTAATGGCGTTATCGATGACACACGTTGGAAGCTCATCAAGAAGCGCGACGGCCTCACATCCTACCTAGATCGAGAGCTTGGAGACCCTACAGCAACAAGGAATTCCGTCCGGGAGAGTGTGGGGTCCATGAGCTTCTCGAGGAAGTTACACGGTGTGTTGACTTTCGGGACGATCGACGGATCCTTACACGACCAAATGTATGGCATGCACCACTGCAGCATGGAGCTCATGCGGATCAAGTCAGCGTACATGAACGACAAGATCGCGGATGGGAAAATTCTGTGCGAGATATGCAATGCAACACCAGAACATCCAGTGGACGGCCTCTACATTAAGTGGAGCGTATCCGACTTCGCGCCCGTTTTACTGCGTCGAGTGGTTCGACCCCGAGATTTTGTTTTCTTGGATGGCACAGGCATTATTGAAGATGAAGCTACAGGTGAGAAGATCGGCTACAGCGTTATGCACTCGCTACAAATCCCAGATATCCGTGAATTGACGGAATACCAGATCGTGCGAGCCACTTTATCTATCTGCGCGTTATTCAGACAGAAATCTCCAGGAGTTGTGGAAGTTTATATGAAGGGCTTTGTGGATTCTATGGGGGATATCCACACAAGTGTGGCCATCCCAGCGACGGCAGAAGCGCTGATGTCGTACCGGAAAGGCGTGTACTGTGGTCAGATGAAGAAGCTCAACTGGCTACTTAAGACCAAGAAGACTGTGATGCTTGATCGACCCAACGGCATTTGCTCCGTCTGTCAGAAGACTGTGAAAAAGTCGTCGTCTCCTGATCATTTGTGTCAGGTTTGTATGAACCAGGTTTGCTCTGCGTGCAGTGTGGTCCAAAAATTGGCTTTCTTGTCCACAACGCGAAGGATCGTTCGACGGAATTTATCGTTCTGTACTCGGTGTATGCGTGTGGCTGTGCTTGCGGACGGACTGGAGGTCGCTTCGGAAGAGCTCCGTCGACTTAATCCTCTCGAGTACTTTGAGATTTCGTCCAACGACAGCGGTACTCCAGCTTCACCGTCGAACTCGACTTTACCCGACATTGTACAAGAATTCTTCGGCTAAAGCCTCAAGAGTTGCAAAAGTGGCTGGAAGAATGGAGTAACATGGTTACTAAGGGGGATACGTATTATAAAACAGTGGAGTAAGTATAAACTTGAATGTGACGAGTAAAAGAATGCCCATACTCACGGAAAAAAAAGGTTTGCTGAAGCGATCGATTTTCTGCTACCATTGAATGGCATAAGACATTGAACTATTAGTTGTAGTACTACTTGGATAACTCCCATAAATCTACTATATTGAATTTTATTATTACTATCTATTTGTACTTTTTGAAACATATTTGTGTTTGTTTTAGAAAAAATAATACAAATATGTTGTTCTAATTGATCAAGACGTCGTTTTGATTTTCCAAAATTTGACATTTTTAACTTTGGCATGGATGATCTTGTTGGACAGTTGAATCTATCCAAGTCTTGCTCAAATAGAGAGTTAGTACACGACAAAGTCGTCATCTTCACACCACACGTTGCACCTCGATTGTAGTTTGGCCCTGAGCTTTTCAATTGTTCACCACCACCACGCCACCTTCTTCGCCGCTACGCATTTGAGTCGCCGTAAACACGGCAAGATGCACTTGAGGGATTTGTGCAGCCACCTACGGCTGGCGGATGCGAGAGCGATTTGGGTCGCCACCTGGACGGAAACGCAGCAGAACTTCGGTGGGGTCGAGGATTCCATAACCCCACCGAAGTCCTACACGAACGAGATAACGCGAGACCATCCAACAGCCAACAACGAAGACTGAGCGGTGCGCATGCTCAGCACAGCACAGGTGGTTGAATAGCATTCGGATCGTTTGATTAGCGATCGAGTGGAGTGAGCAACAGACGCGAACCTCGAATCGCCAGAAACACTTGCCATATCGGGAAGCCAAGCTCGATGGGCTATCTGGGATAGGCCAGACTTGGGTGTCGATTTCATCGTGTCACTCTTACTTTTTCGGGTTTCGAGAGCATGCGCTTCCCTTTACCAGCAGACACGTTTCCGCCGCTAGTTGTGTCGGAGGAGGATCGCTTCGAGCTCCAGCGATTATCAGAAAGTTTTATTCACGAAGCGATCGAGGAATACACAGATTTCCGCTATGCCGATGGAGGAGTTCTGGACAAAGAACGCTGGAAAGCGGTCAAGACTCGGGAAGGAGTGACGTCGTATCGGGATCTGCGAATGATCGATCTAGAGAGATCGCGTTCAGCCCCCAAAGAACGAGTCGGTTCGGGGTGTATGACAGCATCGACTAAACTCCATGGGGTACTGGCAATCGGTACGATCGATGGAGAGTTTAACGACATGGCGTTTGGACTTATTAACGGGAATACGGAGATGCTGAAGATCAAATCTTCATATACTAACGACAAGATCGCCGATGCTAAAGTATTGGCTACTATAGTGGAACCTACGCCAACGGAGCCCGTACGAGGAACATATCTTAAGTGGGGTGTATCAATCGGAGTCCCCGTTCTACTTCGGACGATCGTTCGACCGCGAGATTTCGTGTACTTGGAGTCTATCGGTATCCTCAAAACTGAATCAGGTGAACGGATCGGATTTAGTCTGATGCATTCGATTCAAATCCCGACGATCCGTGAGCTTTCAGAGTACCAAATTGTACGAGCAAATGCCTCAATCTGCGTACTATTCCGACAGAAATCTTCAGGCAAGATCGAACTTTACGTCAAAGGATTCGTGGATGCTATGGGCGATATACACCACTGTGTAGCTGTACCAGCAACTGCAGACGCACTCATGTCGTACAGCAAAGTCGTGCATTGTGGACAGATGAAAAAGCTCAACTGGCTGTTAAAAACTAGAAAGACAGTAATTCTGGACCATGGCAGCGACTGCGTTGTCTGTATGAACGCTGCAAGTCGTCCTAAATCCTGTCAAGTGTGCTCCAACAACATGTGTTCTCGTTGTAGTGTCACCAAGAAGCTGAGCTTCCTCTCTCCTACAACGCGTCGAGTCTCTCAACGAAGCATGATCTTCTGTGTACGATGTCTACTAGCCGCGTTTAAAGCCGATGCTCTCGAGATCGCAGCAGAAGAACTAGTACGTCAAAACCCCTTCGACTTCTACGAGGCCTCGACCAACTCAACTCCCTCGTCTAAAATAGTCTCACCTTCAAGTACAAACCCAGACGCTACCAGTGAGTTCTTCGGTTAAAACTTAGTCGTTACCTTATTCTGCTATCCGTCCCTTCACCGCCAAGAGATCCAAGCCTAGCGATGCCGTCGGATGCAGATGATGTACTTGACATTCCAGACGATGGGGATGACAGTTCTTCGTTATCTTCTTACGACTCGGAGGAGTTCGGACTGGTAGCTCGAAAGGGGTTTGCAAGGATGTATGTGCTTTCTCGAAATATTCAAACTGACGAGGATTCCAAGGAAGTTTCAAGATCAAGCTGGAATTTACTTTATGCAAGCGGACAGCACTATTTCCACGGCCCCATTGAAATGCCAGAGGATATTCAAGTTCGAGAAGAAGAACACAGTCGACGTGGTAGTTTCTTTGAGAGCATTTCGCGGCCACATGAAGGAGGCGTAGAATTGAGGGATATCCCTCGATTACTACCGTTACTTCATGCACAGCAGGATTCCCTCACTGAGGTAGATGATGTGGTGGAGTTAACTTCGGGACAACGTGATGGGGTGTACCAAATGCTAGAAGTGGGCGAGTTTTTCGTTGAAGAACTAGCGAAGCCACGCACGACCGAGAGACTGGAACTAGGAGCCAAAGAACTCCCGTGGCTAGCTGAAGCCACGGAGAACAACAACCCCGCGTTCTTTGAGTTGCAGACTCACCCCAATACAAATAATGGTCTCGCGGACGCAGGCGTTCGACTTGTCGTGATGAAACTCGTGGTTCGTGGAGTACTGCTTGACATCATCTACTCTCGAGACTCGTATTTCGTCACGCTACGTGATAATACGGAGGAAATCGCGCTTGAAGACACTTTCGTTCCGAATGGTAATACTGAATTTCATTTCTTACTGTGAGTTTTGGACTTACTAACGTTAATATTGCAGTTGCCAACGCTGGTCCATGCTACTTGGTGCGTCGCTATTGGTAAGTTTTAAGTTTTTAAATTTTAGTTTCACTCTACAGTTCTAACCCCTTTTTTATAGCGACGAGGATCTCAAGCAATTGCTCTTGTGGTGTCCACTCCCCACGGATTTTTCGCCTTTGCCACTTCACCAGAAGTCAACGTTGAGATCTACCAGTCCTGGAGAGAAATCCCGAATTTTAGCTGCAAACGACACTCAGTTTTATTGCCTGATTGCCAAACGTCTTCAAACGAGAAAATCCAAGAAGAAAAACTCGCCTACTCGTGCGAAACAAAGTGTTGGAGACGATGACTCGGGGGATATTGTGGACGATGCAGTTGTGTTCCAGTTTAACCAGTTCGTCTACCACGGAAGTGCTCAACTCCCAACAAGTATGCTAGATGACTCTGGAGCTCTTGCAGGTCGTGGGTTCCCTCTATTACGTGCACAAGCAAGTGATCTCGCCTTTGCCGGTGTATACGAAGAGATTCTGGGACCTGGAGGTGAGCATGAAGCTGAATTCCCGCGCACCAAGTTCTTAAGTCGCTTTGCTACTATCCATCAAAGATTTCAACAAGAAATAGGCTTCGTCCTTCTGGATCTCCTAATTGGGGCTCAGAAATGGGTACACGACTTCGTGAGGGAAGTTCCCACTGCTAGTGGAGGAAATGCGTTAATTGCGACCCATTTGGCTCGCTGGCTGGAGATTGAAGACGGCTCCGAGTCTTTCTTCGAGCTTGAGTTAGCACGTGGCTCTCTCTGTCCATTTGCTCAAGTTGTGGATGAAGATCAAGCGTACAGTGAGCAGCAGCCACTGGACTTGATGGTCTGGAAGGGAATTGTGCACGATGCGTTGCTGGGAGTTATATATTGTCGTGGTAGCTTTTTCATGACACTAAAATCTGTCAGCGACGGTGTTGTAGACGATGAAGCTTCAGAGCAGCTTTTTGCTGGAGTTCCCACGTATCTGAACAAAGGCAGAGGCTATCTAGTGCGTCGTTTACCCAGTACAGCAGGAACTCCAGCTTGGTTGGCTGGAGCGAAGCTGTTGCTCTGGCAAACGAGTGTCAGTCTCGAGCGTGAGGAGCAAGATGAGGCTCAAATCCAAGCCAGTGAGAGTAAAACGCCCTGCAAGGACTGGTTCGAGGACGACGCTAAAGCTGAAGGCAAAACGTCAACGAAAGCTCAATCCAAACCACTTTCTCTCCGTCCAGCGGAGTTCGCAGATGAGAAAATTTCTTCTATTGCAGTATCTAAAGCCGACAAAGTGGCGAGACCTCATCATGTGTCTCGACTATCAAGTAGTGAGGCGCTTCTAGCTTTACAATCCAAAGCTCGAGCCTCAGCGCAATCTGTGCCATGGGATCGACGTACTGGTCGTCCACTCTAGATGCAGTCTAAAAATCTAGGATTTATATTTTCATTTCAAATTTCTTAATTCTACTTATACTTCTAAATCTATGAATCTGCCTGTTGGTTTTAGAAGTAGAGTTGGAAGACGCTGTAGTATTTGTCTTGTATCCAGCATCATATCGTCGTGTGTAAGTAGTTCTCGTGCACTTAATCCAGATACAGAACCTAAAATCCGTGTAATTTCAGTCTCAGACATGGCAGAATCTGCAGTATAAAGACAGCCTCGAACATCACGCAGCGAAATCATCAGCGTCTCAGTATCATCAGGTAAAGTCGTAGAATTATCACCAGGCAGTACATGGCTCCGGATTTGGCGTTGCACATGACGTCGGAACGTTAAAAGATCATCGAGACGCTGCATCTTTAGGCACTCTGCGAATTGCCACTTAATCTGTCCACCCGGTTTAGCCGTATTAACATGTGCATGGGATAACAAAGCTGTGTAGTCCACTTGAGAGGTTCCACGTAAATCTACGATCAGAGCTCGATGCAGTTGCCTTAATTCTTCATCAGACTTCCATGGGAATGTTAGACGAAGAGTTCGCACCACGTCGGCAAGTGAGACTCGACCTGGAGACAGCGAATTAGTCGAGGAATTATCTAATTCTGAAGAATTAGAGAAGTGTCGATCACGATCCACGACTGCAAGAGCCTCGTATAACTTAGCCAGTTCTCGAGTTTGATCACTGCGGGCTTCGACAGGGAGTTCTTGAGTGTAAACTAGATGGAATAATCTGCATGCACTTGACTGTGCGTTGTAACGTTCTAAGCCAGCCAAGAAATTGTAGACGAGTTCCACTCGATCCGCTCGATTGTCTCGAGATCGCTGTAAAAATCGCTCAAGGGCTGTAGTCAGTGACGTACCAGTAGAGCTTAACGCAGTTATCTCACTCCCCGAATTCGTACGATTAATGGAATTTCGATTATGAGCAGCTCTGACTTGCTCATCGAACTGGTCCCAAATCTGTCCAACAAGTTGGTCAATTTTTGTACGTGGGAAGAAAAGGTTGCGTACGATTCCGTCGTGTTGCAAGTAAATGGGTACATCAGGACTCAATCCTTTACCAGCGATGAAATCTCCACTCGAAATTGTGTTTAGAACAGTAGTCATGAGTTGAACTCCTGCACCTCCATTCAAAGTTAACAGTTCATCTGGTTCAGTCAGAAAGGTAACTGGCCCTTGATCCTCACTTTTAGCATCCAGTAGAGTGAATTGCTGCAGTTTTTGCTTTAGTCGTTGAGTGACCATAGCAGCCGTAGCCTCAATACCCTCAGGTACAGTCGACGCAGTAGAAATTCCATCTAACAGATCCGATAGCTCGAGTTCCAGTCCGAAACCATCCAAACCTGTTATGAACGCGTGGTTTAACGCTACGTGTCTGTTATCATCATTTTGGTTCGAATTCGCAGAAGAACTCGCTGTAAGAGCAGCAGAGAGTTCCTGCACTTCTCGACTGAGTAACACGATCGTGTTCTTGTCTGCAGCCACATGCTCTCCATTCCCTTGTTCTTCCAGAGCTGCAACAGTTTTCTTAAGTTCGGCTAGTTCATCACACGCGTGATAATAACGAGCTGTAACTTTTTGTAGCGCTCTGGCATCCTCTAGAGATCGTTCCTGTCCAGCTCGTAGACTCTCGTCATGTCGACGTACACTACTCGCTAGCGTTAACGTGGATTGTTGAGCTTCCGTGAGTTTACTCTCCACTTTTGTAACTTTCTCCTTCTCGAGTTTCAAAGCAGCTGTGAGTCGTGCATTTTCTGCTGCACTTGCAGCTAACAACGCCTGAGTCTCTGCTAGTCGTTTTTTAAGTGAAAGGGAACGAGCTTTCGCTTCTGCACTACACGCACTTAGTTGTCGAAGACAGTGAGTCTCCAAACTTTGAAGTCGAGTCTGTAATCCCGGAACCATCAAACTTCGAGCATGAAGAGCTTCCACTGCACGTTCGTACTCGTCTCGGATACGCATCAGTACGGGTGCATAGACACTGAAGCCGTCGATCAGCCGATTGAGAGCTTCTCTTACGATTTGTAACCTTCTTAAACTTGGTGTATTCGCTGTTGCATCTTCTCGTTCTCCATCCAGCTCAGAGTGAAGATAGTCGAGTAGTTCTTGTAGTAATGCCGGTCGAGTTCGACTGTCGTCTAGAAGACGTGTGCGGGCGTGGAGCTTACGTACTTTAGGAGATATCGGGGAGAGCGGATCGAGATCAATAGAATCGGTTGGAACGCGTTTCGGGCTTGTTGGAGCGAATGTTAAGGGCCAGGAAGTGACATTTTTTCTTGGAGATGAAGCTAATTCGCTGGTTGGTAGTAAAGGAGGCAAGGACGAGTTGGTACTGGTAGAGTTTTTCGATTGTGCTGGACGTCGAGGTGGTGGACTGGCAGGACCGATGGAGACGAAATCCATCCCGAAAAGCGGATTGTGCACGATTGACTGTTATCGTGCATGGAAGTGAGTTATGAATAGTTTTGAAGAAAAAATGTTGCTAATTTTGTCTTGACTTTTATTTGAACAACTCTTCTAAAGGCCATAGCATGGGGAACACAATGAACGTCGACTCGCTCGACCAGATTGTGAGCGATGATCCTCTAGTCAAGGAGTACAAAGCAGGTTAGTGGAAGAGTGAATATAGGGGGTCTGATTATAAGTTTTTGTGTGTACATTTTTTTAGCAACTTTAGATGACTTTAGTGATGCCAAGGAGAATTTTACAACGTTGCAAGCGACTTTGGGGGACAAGATGACTGTCACTCCTGAAGAGTTTGACGAGATCTTCTCGCTCATCTGTCAAGATTCACTCGAACATTTTGCACTTTTCGACTCGTGGGAAGTCGGCAAGGTGGTTTGTCTTTTTTTTATTGATGAATCACGATCTTTTATTTATTTATTTATTTATTACAGGTGGATGTGATGGAGGTCTTCGCTGTGATTATTGTGTACTGTGATGCGACGATGGAGGAGAAAATTCCTCTCCTCTTTGATCTCTTCGACTTCGACCATTCCAAGACGATGTCACAGGATGAACTGGTTCTACTGATGCTTTGTACTACAAGAGGGCTATGTAAAGTGCTCGGGATGCCTAGACCAGCGACGGATAGTCTCGAAACCCTCGCTACTGACGCTTTCTCGCGCATTGATCGTGATCGGAATGGCAAAATTTCACTTGAGGAATTCGCTGAGTGGATATTACATGAGCGAACTGTGATGGCTTATCTGGCAAAATTTGCGAACACTCGAGTGATCTACGAGAATCAAGTGCAGTACGACTTGGTGTTAAATGAAATCTGTACAGCATTCATGAATTTTGCCGAACCAGAGAAAGATAAACATGTCATAGTATGCTCGGAGGTTTTCTGTGAAGAAATAATTCAGCGGTACTGCTCTGCAGCCACGAAACACGAGATCGAATTCTTACTGCGGACAATGAAAGATCTTATGAAAAATACGGAATCGACGGTAATATACGAACAAGCGTCGATGATCTCCATGGACACGTTCTTCCTCGTTATATCACCGTTCATCGCCTTAATCGCAGCAGATGACGATGAAGAACACTCGATCAATATCAAGGAACTAAAGATTCTGATCTGGATCATGTTTGGGTCGGAACCGAGCTCCACGATGGTCAAGAGTTTCATGGAATCGTTAGATGCCGATCACGATGGCTCGCTAAGCGCAATGGAGTGGGTCTCGTACGCCTTGGAGATCAATAAACAGACCGGGAGGCAGTCTTTCGCCAACCAGATCCATCTACTCTTCGCAACGTCAGACACCAATGGAGATGCCATACTGTCTCTACCCGAACTACAACAAGGACTGATATCCATTTTCACAGACCATTTAGAACGTGTAAAAGCACCGCAACCAGAATCGGCTTGGCAAGAGCTCACAAGCGTGGAAAAGAGATCGATTTCGAGTTTCGCCAGTGACCTCGTCAGGGAAATTTTGGGGGAACTCGATGCAAATGACACGCGACGTATCGAATGGTACGAGTTCCGTCAACATCTCGACTACCTCGAACAACGAGTGATGGAGTTCAACACATACCTCCAAAAACACGTCCTCAACTAGACAAGAGGTAGAACAAGACAACTTAAAAGTAGAATGAATGAAGAATCGTATAAAATGTTGCAGGTTAAAGTCCTACGTCTTTGACGGCGCCATTAGGCCCAGATCTTGAGTAGCGTGTCCCAGCTGCCAGTGCACAGTGCCTGACCCGCGGGGTTGACTCCGAGGCAAGACACGCGGTTCTCGTGGCCCGCGAGCTGGTAGATATGCGCCCCAGAGGTGCTGAGCACGTCCCAGCAGTAGCAATTGTAGTCGTCGTAGCCTGCGAAGAGGAAGCGACCGGACTTGGAGAAGCTCACGGACGTGATGCCGCACAGAATTTTGTCGTTACTGAAATTGTTGAGCTCTCCATACGCTCGCAGGTCAAAGAGACGGCAGCTCGAGTCATCCGAGCCCGTGCCCAGTGCGTTGCCGCTCGGGAAGAAATCGACCGAGTTGATATCCGACTCATGACCCTGGAACGTGTGCGTGGTCTTGCCAGTTCTGATATCCCAGACTTTGGCGGTAGAATCGCACGAGCCGGAAATAAACATGCTCGGGTTGTGCGGGTTAATGCTTACGGACATGACGTCGCCCGAATGTTCGCGGAACGTGGTTTTCACTTCGCCGCTCTCGACGTCCCAAAGGATGCAGTTGGAGTCCCCCGAGCTAGTGACAATGCTCGCTTCGTCGATGAATCGGCAGCAGCTAAGGTAACCATCATGGGCGGCCAGCTCCTTGGTGGCGCGCATCACCTGCGCCTGTGATAGGTGGAAAATGCTGCACAGGTTATCCAGCCCGCCGCACGCTACCATGTTGCGCTGCTTCTGCTCGAAGGCGCAGGTCATGACCCAACTGGAGCGCAGCGGGATGGCCTGGATCTTGTTGGTGGTCTGAGCGTTCCACACGATGAGCTTGCCGTCCTGAGAGGCTGATACGAGGCTCGAGCTGTCGCCGCCCCATTGCATGGCGTAGATCTTGCCAAAGTGTCCTTTCAGTAGTCGTCGACACTTCGGAGGGGCCGGAATTGCCTTGGCGCCGGCGCTGGCATTGGCGCTCTGGAAGCCGCCGTCGCTCTTGGCTTCACGCGTCTTCTCGATCGTCTCCTTGAGGCTCTCGCATTTCTTCTTGAGCTCCGCGGCGTCGCCCATGGCTTCGACGTTGGGCAGCGTAACGAGGAATGCGACTGTTTCTAACTGCAGTCGCGACGCTTTAGAAAATGGCGAGAATATCTTCTATGAAATGGAGGTGTTTGATTGGGTAAGAAAAGGAAATAACAAGTGAGAGGATTGGTTGAAACTTAAAATGGGATGTAGCCATGTGAAACCAACGTTGAAGTGGACCACCACATGGCTACATTCAAGTCGTACATGTCCGACAACCAAGGTACAACCCGTTCTTGTCTTGAGCAGCCTTCTCTCCGCATTCTGTGCAGCAGCCTTGAGCAGCTTTCTTCCCGTATTCTGTGCAGCAGTAATGCTACATCAAACCATTGATTTTTGATCGTGTATCCATCGGACGACGTGGAGATGGCCTCTCGCAGCAGCTTCGTCCATTGTGCAACCCTCACGTCGGTTAATGTGCAAAACCTCTTCAACATCAAGCGCTTCACTGGTAGCCGCGCCATCCATATCTGCAGTTGTGCATCCCTTCAAGCTGTTGGATTGTAGCCATTTTTCGCCCGCAAAATAATGTCCGCCACTTGCTCCGGATTCATGGCGGAGTGATACCATTTCACTAAGTCGACATGACGACCCTTTCCGCATCGTCAACCGCTTTCTCACTGCAACCTTCTTTTCCTTCGATTGAGATGTAGCCATTTTAACCTTTCCTAGCATTATTACTTGCAGCCTAAATTTTCTGTCTAGAGTTAAGCACTTTACACTTACGATTTCGATCGCTGCTTTCTCTGTCGGCATGATATCAATTCTCTTCATCTTTATTCACAATATGCACTTAAAAATTACTTAAGCGGCCAGTCAGATTCAACATTGGGGGTTATTTGCGAGGACGACCCAAGCATCGGACACTCCGTGAAAGCCAGACGACGAACAAGCAGCACAACCGAGAAAAAAGCTTCAAGAAACACACACGGCATCAGCTCCGACGTCTTCCAACGGACAAGGACGAACCTTTGTTGCAAGCGTCGTGACTGCATTCGGAAACACAGTCGAACGGCAACCCTTTGGAAGAACACGACACCGTCACCATGTGAAGCTTCTCGCAGCAATTTCTCTGCACCTCCAGCACCATTTGCACTGCACTTGCACCTGTCATCAGCCATTCCATTGCGCTCCCCGATACTTGGAAAATACATGGCAGGAACTTGCAATAGACTCGAGGAGCAGACTCCAAAAAGACGCCACAGCAGCACATGACACACCCGAACCACAGTCAACCGATGTGGAGCAAAGCAGAGAGCGAGACTGGAACACTGCGTATCAATTGTCTGATACACTCCAAGCACCAAAACGAGGTAACAAGAGGCCCGGAACAGTAGTAAACCTTATTGTAAATATCGTCTACAACGGAGCGGAGAGCACGCAGTATACACAGCCATCGAGTCTCATACACACCACTGAAACCCCACCATTTCTTCCTCCTTTTGTCACTAAATCCCTCGTTTGGCCCGAGCGTGAGGAGAAGAAAGAGGTCAGCAAACAACATACAAACACACTCGGACGAGGTTTACCCCCTACTTGAAGCCCCAACTGCCTAATCGAAGAGATCCCTTACAATAGGGACCTCCTCACTCTTGTCTAGGGTTACAGGCAGCCCATCAGACCACCTCATGTCGATCGCAGTGCGCATAATGCTCAAGTTATATGCAAAGTGCCACTCCGCCCCACGTGAACAATACAAACAAACCGGTACACTACGTCCCAGATCTCCACCGCCCATCGATTTTGCGCCAAGGAGGCTCCAACCCCCCCCCCTCTCCACTCCACACCGGCAGTCACAAGGGCCCAGACGACGTACACACCCACCCTGACTCCCCTGAAGCATGACCTTGAGTCATGAAGTCCCCGCACGCACGCTGTCACTCGCTATAAAGTCTTCATCATCAGCCGCCATCGAATAGAAATCTGCAAATGCTTCGACTATGAAACTAGAAACCTGACTAATCGAATTGGAGATAGCCATTTTGGAGTGTAGTGCAAACTACTAGGTTCAGGATCTAAAATCCTTGAATCAAGGACCTTGCTTCGATCACTATTGCGAACTACAAGGTACGTCTTCACATTAAAAGTGGTGACAATATACGTACAAGGTTTCACAGAGCGTTGCTATGCTAACATGTCAACAGCGTGCTGTTAGTTGAAGTGGATGAGCCAATTAGAAATCCAAGAGCAATCTGCTGCTGTACATGAGATTTGACGATGGTATATACGCGGCGTCGGCTGTTCCGAAATCCAAACCAAGACCGTACTTTTACAGGATCATTTCTATAGTACCTTCTTTTCTACTTGACTTTCCTAGTAGACAACCTCATTAACTTTGATGATCGTATTCGACTTCATTCATTGACTCGGGATGTCGGTGGTTGCAGTGCTGAGTTCTCTTTTGAACTTGGTCTCCCCCATTGATGAACGTCCGCTGTCGCTATTCCAAGGCAGCGTGAGTGAGTGGAGTGATATGAGAAGTTAGTGATTCTTCCTCTTCACACTATTATTTTTTACTTTTAGCTCGTTTTCTTTAGTAGCTTATCTTCCTCACTGTCACAATCTACGTCAGTATCACTTTTCCGCTACAACAATGTTGTAACGACATGCCCCCTGGCACGATCGGCTCTTGAACAGCATCACTTTTGACAGTACCACCACGTTGTAAGAGTTAGTTAGAGTGAAATAGACTGATAAATGGGATTTAGTTCTCCTACATGCATGCAGTTCATTGTTCTTCTGCCAGTAGTTCTTTGATCTCTATTGAGGAATGGGTGTGGTTCTCGAGAATCTCGATGTTCGGAAAATCGGATCAGATGTAGCCATATCGAAGCGACACGTCAGTTGAATCCTGTAGGGGGCCATGTCCGAGGTTGTCGCCTTCCCAGCCTTGGCGAGAGCCAAGAAGCTGTTTCTGCTTCGAAAACAAGCAGCAAGACGACGTGAAGGAGAATGTCGTGTAGACCCTCGAAGTCGCGACGTCTCGAGCTCGAACAACCCAAAGGAAGTCCAAGATCAGCGATACGAACCACATCCTACTGTTGGATTAGACTCCACACGTCGATGCACTTCATCGCTCATTGCGTTCTGCTCGGATTTCGATGAACAATTGCGGGTCGTCAACAGCGACTTGCTGCTGCTGAACACGTCTGTGAGACGAGAGTACCAACGCGAATCACTAGCCCTCGAGAAGCTGACGACGGAGCTGTTGGACAAGGAACTCCCCTCTCCAGCAAACCAAAGAGATGTACGGAGTTGTCGCGTTCGACTGCGCCTTAGTAGACCGAGCATCAAACTTCGAGTCGTGCGCCAGTCTCCACCTCAGAATTCCAATGTAAAGCAGACACAGACAAGTCCGAAGAAGCCACTCAGTCGTGCTGCTTTACTAGCACACCAAGCGATGAAAGCTCGTGTTCTCCAGTCGTACGCTCGGCTTTATCTCTTCCGGGTCTTGTACCGTGGAGGTCCAAGTCAACTCGTTGCAGCCCGTCAATTAGCCACTCGATGTCGTCGATCACACGCATTCCGGCATTGGCGACGAGTTGTCATTCAACGTCTCAAACTGCGACGTCGCTGTCTTCGAACTCAACAGCGTATCGAACGCTGTGTTGCCTCATGGGCTCGTTCCAGAGCAATTCAGGTCGTCAACACAGAAGGCAAATACGCCATGGCCAAGGAATTCCACCAGTCCAAGCTCCTTGCAAGCAGCTTCCGCACGTGGCTGGGCTGGTATCAAAGCTCTGGTCCCACGTAGCACTTTGGTCTTACGCAACAGATTCAAAGATCAGTGACCAGCCTCAACCTGTCTAATAAACTTCAATAGTTTATTTCAATTAAAACAATTGAATACCATCATCTTACTCTCAAGTATAATTAGCTTCGAGTTTTGATAGCTCCAATTCTGGTGAGTAACTATAATCCCCTCCATCGCATTTCTACATCAAAAGGATAACGGAGACCGTGGACGCCATGGCGACGGCGTCCAATTCCTCGGGCCAGACCACGCGAGAGCGCTCCATCGTGACGCTGGATGGGTATGTGAGTCGAGGCCAGGCTCCTCCTTACTCGGTGCCTCGAGATTACGCCATGCTGCAGGATTTCGCGGCGTATCTAGAGCTGCGCCTCAAGTGTGTCAACATGTCGATGCTGCGTCGCATCTTCGCCGACTTCCTCAACGAGCAGGAGAACACACTGGTCCCCATGATGCAGCAGGGCTGTACGATCATCACCATCTACCCGGTGTTGAGAACCAGCGCGCAGAGACGTCAAAAGGCCGAAGCTCTGCTCGCCAAGCCAAAGCACTACCTGGATGCACGCGGATGCGTCTTCCTGTATCTCCAGCACCGCACAGCGACGCGGAACATGGCGCTACTTAAGCACTTGCTCCTCGAGTTCGTGTGCAGACGGGAGACGTCGCTGATGGCGTTCGTGGAGAGAGGATGTCAAGTGATCAGCGTCATTCCGTTTGAACTGCCGCAGATGCTGCCACCGACACGTCCGCCACCGCCTCCAGTGACTCAAGAGTCTCCTTGCTCGGTGGATACTGCAACCGAGCGACAGCAAGTTGTGTCGGAGCCTGTGGTGAAGACAACCACGAAGAAACGCAAAAGAAAAGCTGTGTCTAAAGCGTCGACAGTCTCAGCCTCCGCTGATGACGCTGATGTGGCTGCACCCGTGGCCACACAAAAGAAAACGAAAGGAAAACAGAAACAGCAGCCTGAAGTCTCAATATCTATTGGAGAGTCTGAGGCCAGGACTAAGCGTCGACGCAGAAGTAGGGAGTCTACAACCAGAAAGAGTACAAGTGCGCCACCAGCGTCGAATTCGGCTGCCGAGTTGACCCCAAAGCGTAGTAGAAGGACGAGGGCTAGCACGGCACCGCCACAGGATGCAACATCTGCAGCCGTTCCAGAGCCGGTCGTATCAACTCTGAAGCGTGGGAGAAAAACAAAAGCTACCACGGCATCACCACAAGATGCAACCTCTGTAGCCACAGCAGCAGAGGTGGGGTCTGTCGTGGCAGAAGTTGTATCATCCTCTGCTAAATCAGCTCCGAGTCGTGAGACTGACACGGTGCCGCTACATGAAGCAGCCTCTCTAGCCACATCGGAACCAGTGGAGCCTCGATCGATAAAGACAGCTAAGTCGACCATTAAACGTGGCAGAAAACCAAAGACGCCACTACAAGACACTGACTCTGAATCCGCAACGGAGACGGTGGAATCTGCTGCGACGGAAGCTCAACCCGCTGCAAAATCGACTCCAACGCGTGGTAAACAGGCAATGGCTAGCCCTCTACCGCAACAAGAAGCAGACTCTGTAGCTGCAACGGATCTAGCTGATCCTGCTACGATGGACACTGCTAACTCGACCCCAAAACGCGGCAAGAAGTCGAACTCTAGCTCTGAGAATCCACTGGATGCGACGCCTCCAGCCGTGTCGGAACTGGTCGCACCTGCTGTGGCGGAACCTGCTACATCGACTCTAAAGCGTGGCAGGAAGGCAAAACCTCGCACGACGTCACTACAACATGCAGCCACAGAATCCGTACTGGACGTGGTCCAGTCTGTATTGAACGACCTGGTATCTCGAGTTTCTGGCGAGGTCCCAGTCCTGAAGCAACATCGAAAACGCAAGTCCGAGGCTGAAAAGCTGAAAGCTAGCGAAGGAAAGTCACGCAAGCGCAGTAAAGCAGCAGGTGACAAGCCAGCCAAGCGAGGGAAGCCAGTGATGAGCGAGGAAATGTGCCGAAGCCAACTGGACTTAGCTCGAAAGATGGAGGCTTTTGAGGCCCAGATCCCGTGGGAGGCAGCCTATAACAACTTGTCGCCTCCGTTCGACGAAGTAAAACACCCCACACTTGCGCTAAAATTCCGCAAGTTCTGGCTCAAACACACACACGCTGTGTGGGAGCGCGAGTTCTGGGCGCCCATGTCTCGCAAACTCAACCTCGCGGAGTTCAACAAACGCAACAACCGTCAACTCGCAGCCAAGAACGCGTTCGAGTCTCTGATCATTTGTGCGTACGAAGAGCTTGGCGCGGAGTTTTTCGTGAAATTGGACTCGCAGAAGCCGCGACACCCTGGGTGGTGGTACCGTGGCCCCGTTGTGGCTCTGTTTGCGCTGCAGCAGATGAAGGGCGAGGATGCCATGTGGGAGTACGTTATGAACCAAGCTCTTAAACGCTTCCCAGACTGCAACCTGCCTCTTCCTCTGTCAGCCTCGAATAGTGGTGCAATGCGCATCCGTCACAAACGAGAGAGTGTATCCATGTGGATTGCCAACCACCAACAAACAGCGGGGATTCTGGAAGAGATGGCTGCAATTAAGGCACAAGAAGAGGCTGGAACGGTGGAGGCTAGTGGCGAGTTGGAGAGTTCAGGAACGGATTCTGTGGCCGTGTGAGGGGATCAAGATTTTTGTTAAAAGGCTGGGGTAGTCTGCCCGAAGATTGCCAGTTGTGAATATGTGGATATCGTGGTATTTAGGAAGATGAGAAGACTACACGTCTACGGTAAATAGTCTTACCGAGTCTATTTTGTGTTTATGGTTTTCAAGTCTATTAACTGTATATAGTCTGAGTCAGACTATTTATGAATTCAAAAATAGTCTGACACACAAAAGTGAAAATGCTTTTGGGAGCCGTAGATATTTGCGTTGGAGATAGGTGGGGTCGGGGAGGATATCGAAGAATTGACGAGTCGGATGTGTTTCTCCGTTACCTGATGAGCTATTTTTTAGTTCCAGTTGAGACTTGGAAAATCATACCAGCCGAGGATGCAGCGACACTCGAATCGAATGGTAAGTACGTCAGACTCAATATCGATCTTGGAACAGCGATCACAATGCCATATTCCGGGGAAGTAGCTCAATATTTCTTCATGTGCGCTTTTGCACTTCTAGTAACCTACTCACAGTTTATTCAGAATTTATCTCCAGGCATTCGTTTACCCATCCAACAACAAAAGCTTGCTTTTGATTTCGTATCTGGCCACATTCGAGTGGACTTACTGCTCAATTCCGACACAGTGATCTAGGAACGCCGCGGGTCATTGAAGGTGTAAACTTGGGGATTCGTCATCTTGTCGTAGTATGCCGCGTATCGCGTTACAACTTCCTCGCGCTCGTTTGCGTCGCGAAACTTCGCGTGTAAAGTCTTCGGGTCGATTCCGTATTGAAACCATTGCTTAAACAGTTCTTTTCGGTATAGCTTGGCGATATCAGCTACCAGTGTATCACGCGATTTTTGTGCTTTAGTGAGCATCAACGCAAATTTACCGTCGTCTCCAAAACCTTTTCTTAGCACAGTGAACATTTCTGCTTTATCTTGGGGGTTCTTGTTGACGTTGAATAATTTGGTGAACTCAGCCAGAATCTCCATTTTCGGGTGATCGATGCCATCTTTGATATTTAGCAGCTTGAAGACGTCATCACCAGTCTTTCGATTAGCCAGCCAACCTTCTAACTGCTGGCGCTGCATCTTTGTCGCGATATCCTTTGTGGCCGCGTCTCTCTTGGCAAGTACGAGAGCCTTCGCTACTGCGTCTTCTCCGTATTTTGTTGTGAACATCTCAAGCACTACCGTCTCACCATTCGGGTAATACTGGGAGATGTATTTGAAGAGCAATTTCAGTTTCTCGCTACGCAGAGCATCGTGCACACTGTTGCTGAACTTTAGCCGATCCCAGACGCCCCGCACCGGCAAATCCTCGCTTCGCCACTTTCCAAGCAAAGCGGTCTCCAAATCGATGGCCTTCATCCTCGAACGTCGTCTTGCCCTTCCTGTCTCTATAAGCCGGACCAAATTGCTCTCGTCCCCAAAGGCCTGCGTCAGAACCTGTAGCAAAGTTGTCTCTGTAGATTTCCCTTGGTTGAACACAGGAATGTAGTCTTCCAAAGCCTGGAACTTGTGTCGATGAAGGGCTTCGTAGCCGTCGTCTTTCAGCTTCAGTAGTTTGAAAACGCCGCCAACTGATTCGCCATTCTTCCGCCAGTCGTTGAGCTGTTCATTCCTCAATTGTTTCACCATGATTTTCAGCTCTGGGTGTGTGTCCGCATCTCGCTCTAGTTTCACGAGTGCTCTTGCCACGGCATCGTGTCCGTATTTTTCTGAAAGTGGGGCAACCGAAGATATGTGGCTCGCTGGGCGGTTATTGTTCTTAACAAACTTGCTCAGTTCCAGTAGCTGCGGACTTCTCACAGAAGTAACGAGATCATCACCAAGCTTCAAGTCTTTCACCAAAAATTCGTATGTCTTCAACGTCGCAGACGTGACAAGATCATCGAGCTTTGATGTACCCGCCGGGACCAGACCCATTACATTGCCTCTCTCTTCGTTGTCATCGCTTGTTGTTCCATAGGCTCTTAACAGCCTTTTCGTAGGGACATCATTCTGCTTCGTGGTGAGTAGACGAACGCCAGTCGGTGAGCCTATTGACTCCAACGTTGAGGTGGTAGACGCTGAGATGCTGTTGGAATTTGCAATGAGAGCAGCAGTTGCCAACAATACAAAATGGTAGCGAACCATATTCGAGATCGCTGTTTGGACTTGAGCACTCGAAGCGTTCTGGAGCGAATGACAAAGTGATTGGAGTTAGCTGGCAATAATCCAGTACACCTGTAAACAGTTTGTCTTTAAGAATGATCTACATTTATATTCGTATACCCCGTTATATCAGGTTGCTGGGATTAAAAGATTAAGGTAAAATATAATGAAATAATTTTTCGTATTTTATTCCCTCTTGAATCGCTTAGCATCAAAGCAGATCTTGCAAAAAATCATTGTATCTTGTTTACTGGAAGGATAATACTGGTGGTCGGTCCTGGAGCTGGTCCGCACATATTCGTTGTGCTGTCAAAAGGCTACAGAAATCACCAGGGTACTTCTAAGCCAAGCTACAAGCAACAAACCGTAGTTCTGTTTTACCTTCTGCACTTCGAGCAAGGGCAGAAATAATACCACACTATGTACCTCGTTCTCAACGTTTTTCAAAGGTCCGCGATCTTACTGCCATGGTGAGAAAGCGATATAATATCTGTGATGCCCTACTGGATACTCTGTATCCCTCTCGCTAATGTGCATTAATCTTCTTTAAGAAAGTAGCTAGATTGGAACTATGGAGGACATTTTTTCTCCTTTCACCATTGTTTTCTTCATAAACACCTAGTCTTCTCATCTTCCTAAATACCACGATATCCACATATTCACAACTGGCAATCTTCGGGCAGACTACCCCAGCCTTTTAACAAAAATCTTGAT